TAGAAAAAGACTTTAACATAATGATAAGTTTGGCAGAGATTCATAAAAATGTCCTTTAACAACAAACTCCAGAAATTGCAGTACTGTCTTCATCTCTGTTCCCTTGGGAACAATCATAGTAACTTTCAAATATCTCTTAGTTAAAATTTTTCCACTGAAATATCCTTATCAGAAAATCCATCATGCATTTCTATTATATACTAGAAGCCCGGTTCACAAAATTCATGCACAGGTAGGGTTCCTAGGCCTGGCCGGTGATCAGAGCCGATCTGTAGGGCAACCAGTGGGGCAACTGGGGAGCCCCTGCTGGCACCCACATTGGCCAGCCTGGCGCCGCCCACTGGATGGCCAAGCCCCGACCACTGCTGCTGGTCACCTCCCTCTGCAGGGCAACTGGCGGGACAATCAGGGAGCTGCCGCTGGCATCTGCCTTGGCTGGCCTGGGGACTGTGGCTGGGGGCAGCTCCTGCATCGAGCATCTGCCCCCTGATGGTCAGTGTGCTTCATAGCAAACAGTTGTTCTGCTGGTTGTTCTGCTGTTTGGTCAATTTGCATATTAGGCTTTTATTATATAGGATGATAAATACTTCTAAAGTTGCTCTTTATCTTCTAAAATCAGAGAAGATGGCTGAATGATAACAAACATTGACATTATTTGATGAAAAAGATCAAGGCATCCAAATACTGCTTCTTGACTTCTTCTAGCTGTTTAAGGCCAGCATCTTTTGTTGTTTTTCCTGGTATTTTTTGAAATTTGATTGCTTTTTCTGAATAAATGACCATTTCCTTAGTTTTTTTCTAGTTAATTGCCTTTTCCACAATTCCTACATACTGTTCCTTTGATTAGAATCTTATATAATATTTTATGTAAATAATTTGTCCAGTCACTAATAATTTACTGAAAAGTTACAACTTAGGTAACTATTAAATTGTATTACTGATGTGGCATTGTATTTTCTTAGTTCTTCCTTTAACTTTAACCCAATTAACAATTTAAAAAAAGAAATTTGAATTTTAAAGATACTCAAAGTCAGTAAGATATTTCATGTATGAATTAAAAATTTTTTACGTACTGAACACAATATTATGCCTCACAAGTTTTCCCTCTATTTCATAATGCAAATAATAAACATAAATAGAAACTCTAAGTGATCACACAGAATGACAGAACTGAAGAAACTGAACCTGTTTCTTTGTATTTATGATCACTCTGCTGTCCTTATTTCCAACCTATTGTTTAAAGGATAACTGGTTCTATGAGCACTGAAGGCCCAAACTATGCCTGAAGAAACATGAATGATTCCAGCACTAAGGCACTTACTTGGAAATGAATGCATGCAGCTGAGTCTGTGAGTGTTATGGGCCTACGGTATAACTAAGAGTTCTTTCTTTTTATTAAAGTATAATTGGTATACAATATTTCTTTAGTTTCAGGTGTACAGTATAATGAGTTGACATTTATATACCTTAAAATGTAATCATCTGTCACCATGCAAACCTATCACAATATTATTGGGGTTCTTTAAATTAATTTCCATGTGGAATGCAATATTTATGAAGGTAGGTAATAAAAAATATGCTAATTTGAAAGAGATAGGTAGATAGATAGATGACCAAAACATCAACAATTGCAACAACAAAAGATTTATACTAAACTGTTTTTGGGGGAGGAGGAAAAAAAGGAACTGAGATACTTAATGATATCATTGAGCCTACCTCTAGATTTCTTGTATGAATTAGTAAAATAAATAATTGCTTAAACTGCTGTTAATGGGGTATTTTCTTACTTGTAGCTGATTGCTCTCTGATACCCAAGGGTCATTTTCAGCCTTTAATATTACATCTTTCATCTTTTGACATTGTTTGCCATCCTCGCCTCAAAATGTTCTCTCCCCTTAGCTTTCATGGCACCTTTGTGACTAAATATAACATTTGCTGCTGTTGTTGTTTTGGTTAAATGTTTGACCTCTCTACTTTGTAAGCTCTATAAAGGCAAGGACCATGTCTGTTCACTGCTTTCCAGTGCGTGGCCTGCAGTGTAGACTAATGAATACTTTACCAAGGAAAGTAGTTACTCATAGAACTTTCAATGCAGAGAAGGCTTTAGTAGGTGATTATGTAATTTGTGCTTGGTTGGTGGCAGAGCTGGGAAAAGCAAGTCATGTGGCTTTCAGTCCAGTAACCTTTATACCACCTTGCCACCTTGCTTCATGACATGCTAATAATACTCACAAAATCATACCTGGATACAATATAATTAAGTAATATGTTTCCCTTTTATATTCCACTAAAGTCCTGGTGCAAGAAATTCGTGCATGGGTGGACGTTCCCTCAGCCCAGCCTGCACCCTCTCCAATCAGGGATCCCTTGGGGATGTCCGACTGCCACTTGCAATCTGGGACCGCTGGCTTCTAACCACTCACCTGCCTGCCTGCCTGATCACCCCTAACTGCCTCTGCCTGCTTCATCGCTCCTAACTGCCGTCCCCTGCCAGCCTGATCTCACCCCCAAATGCTCTCCCCTGCCGGCCTGATCTTGCCCCCAACTACCCTCCCCTGCCAGCCTGATCTCCCCTAACCACCTCTGCCTCGGCCCCTGCCACCGTGGCTTTGTCGGGAAGGATGTCTGGAAGAATGTCCTGAAGATATCCAATCTAATTAGCATATTACCCTTTTATTAGTATAGATAATGTAGTATCTATAAACTACTGGCCTATTCTAGAGATTCACTGATGGCAGAGAGAAGACAGGATGATCATTTTAATTTTTACATGAAGATCATCAGACAAAAGTATAATTAACTGAATTTTTGGTTCCCTGCTTTTTTGAGACCTTGGCTAAAGGATGCTATTTCCCAATTGAAACTTTCTTCTTTTCATAGCTGCTGTGTTCCCTAATGTCAACCTTTCTTTTTGCTCAATTCAAATATGCACAAAGTCCTCGCACTAAAATTCCCAAATCTAATCTGCCTCCTATTCAATGTCCCACACAGCTTACTTTAAAATATTTTTTTCTGACGCCTTTACAATCTGTAGAAAAGGATAAAGACAGGTTAGTTAGGATGTGACCATTAGTAACGTAACATCCATAAACATTTTGAGAATGTGTGGACTGGAAATGCTTTGACGGTTCCAAGAAGCTTTCCAAGCTCAAGAGAAGCAAGTGTCCGTCATTCGCCATCATATCCTTGAGAACCTTTTCCTAAGCTGTAGACATGGCTCCCGCCGACTCAGGGTGCTCTCAGGCATGCCAGGCGTTTGCTGTTCACAGCCGACACTAGTCCTGGGCCCACGCCTTTGAGGCCCGAGTACATGGTTCACTTCCCAGAAGCTGCGGGTTTTAGAGGCTCTTTTGAGTCAGGGTTCTCACCTAAGGACTGGCTGCTGGCCGTCGGGAGTGAGGGCTGGAAGAACGGGTCTTTCACTCTCTCGTCCCACTCAGGGGCCCTCTGCTTGTCAGGAGTTCACCTTGCCCAAAGCTCCAAGGCTTCTCTTTCCACATACCTTTTCATCTCCAGCTTCTGGTGCTGATCAGCTTACTCTCTGGGGGCTCACAGTTCAAATTTATGCGGAGAAAAATCTGGTTAACGTGGCTCATCTTTCCATTGCCAAGTGGTTTGTCGGTCATAGGTCACACCTAGGCCAGACCACTGGCTGGGTGGAGATAGGGTGCTGGGGTGACCTGCAAAACCAAATAGCACCTAACACATAACAAAGAAGGAATGGGGCAGCTTCTGAAGGAAATCAGGATGTAAATTTATTTTATATACTGTGAATAGGGTTTCTTTAAATGTTTAATATTCATCTCAACATTCCATTCTTTTATTGATCTGTTTTAGTGCTATATTAACTGATGGTATGAATTCAATGCTGTACTTTCATTATTGCCTCTTGTTATTATAGTGTGTAAAAAAAAAAAAAAAAAGAACCTAGAAGAGTCTATCTTGCAGAAGAGGAATCCAGAGATAGTAAGTGAATATCCCAGGGTTACAGGGCTACAGAAAGGCAGAAAATGAGAATAGGGATCTCTTGATTCCCAACATCATTAACCAGCACCTAATAATACCAGAACTAAGATATAAGGTCTGGATAATGCTTGATAATTAGGAAATGTTTGTTACCAAGAGGATTTCCTCCTTTTCTTATTTAAAAGGGCATTCCAAAGAGAAATAAATGGCATATTGAGGTGTTCTAATATATAATTACTGTTATGAAACACTTAAAATGCAAACTTGACACCTTTTCTAAACTTGCAAGAAATTATTTGAAAATGTGTAATAATTACAGAATCTTATCATGCTTCATATTCAGCTTTTTTGAATACCTAAGAAAAGTTCAATAAATGTGTAACAATTATATAATAAATTATAAATGATCAACTACCTTTTATAAAAAATGTGACTTACTCAGTGAACTAAAGCCAAATAATTTCAAGAAGTATATCAAAGATGCATTTTTAAATGAATTTGTTTTCTTGCTGTACACAACTTTTAAGCTCTTGTTTGACCTGATTTGTCAAATACTTTGTGAAATGATATTCAGAACAGCACAGAGTGATGTCAACTTGCATTAATTCTTTCCCAAAGAGAGGTGTTCAGTATTCAAACTGTGTTTGTACTGGCACAACCTATTTATATTTTAGCTTCATTTCAGAAGGTTTACAAGTATCGCTTCATTTGAAAGACTGTTCTTTTTTTGCAATTTCTCTTCTAAAACAACCTTTGAAAGGACAATAATAATGTCCCATAAAGCTGCTTTCAGGGAAGTTATTAAGAAAATAAATATTTCAGAGAAGTGAATAAAATGTTATATATTAATATTAAATTATACTATTTTCAACAAATATATATTATGAGAAATTAAAATTATTCCTTATCAACTAAGAAAATATTTCTCAATGCAGTAAATCCATTAACAGTATTGCATGTTTTTATGTAAAACATAATTTATTAATTTGTTTTCATCTAATAAAAACCATATGTATATGTTCCTAAGATTCTTCTAATTCTTTTAATTCTGTTGTAACAATGATTGTATATTAATTAGCAAATGCCAAGATATTTTACTGATTGAATTTTATAAGAAACAATATAGGATAATAAAAATGGTCATTTCCAATATCTTCATTTGAAACAACAATGGCAAGTATTAATCAATTATTCTATCTTGCTGAGGAAACAGGAGATTTTAAGATTCTAAATCTGGATTTTAATGATTTTGAAATGAATCCTTGGTTTCCTGTTCCCACAAATCAATTATAATTTTGAGTACAATCATGTAGCAACCATAATTCAGCTGACTGTTGAAGGTCTTTTTCAAATTTTGTCCTTTCCACCTTTTTTCTGAAGTCGGTTTCTGGTTGGTTCCGTCAATACCAAGGGTTCTTGAATGATGATTGCTGGGTAATGTTTGCCTAGTAGTTCAACTTCCACTTGTTGTCCCACCTTACTCAGCTCTACGGGGACGTATGCAAAAGCCAGGCTCTTCTGGATGCTATAACTGTAGCTTCCAGAGGTCGTGTTGCCAACCACCTGAAAAACAAGACCCAGCGATCTTTAGCAGCCAGGTCACAGCTCTGTGCTCCCCCTCCCGATGGAAACACATTATAGACTCAACTCACAAATAAGTTTGTGGGTATAACATCAGGAGGAGAACTTCACTTTTTTGAGAAAAATTAATGAAAATATATAAATTCTGAAAAATAATTCTCAAAGTATATGTCTATATTACTTTGACATTTTTTATTTTTAAATAATAATATCTAGTGTTTTAATGCCTGGCAGTATTTTGCTCCTTTCATGCCAAGAAATCTAATAGGAAGAAGAATTTAAATTATTGCCATACTGCTTGATAATAGAAGAGATGTTTTTTTAAAGTTTAAATGAAAATTCTCTTCTATTATCAAACAGTATGGCAATAATAAATAAATGGGGAAAAAATCTAAAAACCCAAATGCAAACTTAGTTAACTATCCCTGAAGGGGTTCAGAAAACATGCTCAAAATGGTGCTCAATTAAACTACTTATTAATATATAGTCAATGGGCTCTAGTCGGTTGCTCAGTGATTAGAGCACTGGCCCATGGATTGAAGAGTTTTGGGTTCGAGTTCAGTCAAGGGTACATACCTTGTTTGCAGGCTCGATCTCCAGCCCAGTCAGGGCACATTCGGGAGGCAACCAATCAATGTGTCTCTCTTATATCAATGTTTCTCTGTCTCTCCCTCTCCTTCCCCTCTCTCTAAAAATCAATGGAAAAAATATCCTCAGGTGAGGATTAATAAAAAAACAAAAACCAAACAATTCTCTCTCTCTCTCTCTCTCTCTCTCTCTATATATATATATATATATATATATATATAGTCAATTGGAAGTGAATATTCCTTATGACTTACAACTAGCATTTAACAATTCCAGGCAATTGCTAGGCACTTAAATAAATGTTAACTTTTACCCTCTCTAGCTCTACTCTGTACATTCTAGAGAACTAGCAGAGGCCTAGTTCCAGCCTCGTCAAGGAATTAACAGAGATACAAGAAAATATAACACAAAATCAAGACTGTCAACATAATGAAGCCAGGATTTGTTCTACACTTTCAAGGAGGTGAAACTAGATAGGTCGAGATGGAGGATGACAACTTTTCAGGATGAGTGGAGACATAGTGTTAGGCAGGAACAATCCAAATTAAGGAGGATGAAACAGGGTAACTTGGGAAGGCAAAACAGAACAATACTCGACAAGGAATCAAACTCAGGAGAGGAAAACAAAGCTTGAAGCTACAAAATAAAGAAATAAATCTATAAAACAATCCTATTAGAAGATACGAAGATTAGTGGAAACCAGATCTAAAGGAAAGGTTCAAAGGGAAGGAAAAGCAGATTACAATGTAAATACATATGTCAGGTTAAAATGCCACATTTAAAAATGTAAAAGGAAGACAACAAAGGCAAAACCTGGTTTACAGCCCTGCTCCACAGGGCTTCTCCTGGCTGCACACATGCACGAATCCTCCAGCCTCCCAGCCTAGCCCAGAGGGCCGGTGACCCCAAACATTCATGGACGTGCATCAGCCTGGTGGTCGTTCAGCTGCCTCCGCAAGGAACCCACTAGTCAACCGTCTTATGATAGTGTATCTAGTCTTTTAGAAGCTATACTTTTATGACCTTAAATATAGACTCCCATCTCTGCAGCCCTGGTTGTTAACTATCTCGTTGAAATCCCAAATCAGAAGCTCTCCATATCATTTCCCAACTTGTTATGGTGAGAACTGGTGGGTGAAAAACAAACATCAATGTATTCGTTAGTAAAGGCTTCTCTCTTGCAGACTATTAACTGCCCAAGTATTGCTGAGATAACACACATTTTCTGCTTTAGATCATAGATAAGTGATCTAAGACAGTGATCTGGGTCAGGGAGGTTGGAGTTTTAATCATTACTTCTTGAAAGTCCTCTTGGTAACTTTGGTTTCACTTCCCAGTCTGTAAAACAGAGATCTGTGTCTGGATTCTTGGGAAAGTTACCCTGACTTGCTTGGGCGTGTTAAGAAAACAGGAAGAGGCCTGGGCAAGTCTCTTGACCAAATTCCCTAACTCACGGGGTCAAAACCCCACAATCACTCTGAGACTGTGTACACCAACCATTTCCTCAGGACTTCCTATCTCTTAAAAGCCCAGCAGTGATTTCTGCGTTAGTAAGTTAAATAGTAGTATATTTATTTTGTGAATGCTATTTTGAAGACATTTATCAAATGCTTTGCTTTCTGCTACTTTAATTTCTCTCTGACCGAGGAGTTAGTAACCCAGAGTATTTTAGAAGTCTGGCCTTTCCTTTTATCCTATTACTAAACAGCCAGGAAAATATTTTTTTCTAGCATACATCTTACGTTGTTTCTACCTTAAAATCCTCCAGATTCAATTAAATTCATTGCTTGGTTTTTATCAGCAATTCCCAAGAACAACCCGCCCACATCCTCTGCCTAGGACACACTCACTCTCATATTCTTTTGAAATCAAACACTGGCCTCCTTTTTACCAATGTGAACAAGCCTCGTTTATTTCTACCCTTTTCTCATTCTTCTCTTATGAGGCTTGAAGTCACCTCTAGCTGACGTAGAGAAGACAACATGGTAAATGGCCTTTGAAAGCGGTCACATAATTTAAACTGGATGCTATATGGTAGTGTTTTTGCTGCATTTTAGTTTATGAATGATGAAAAATATGACTTTCTAAATTCTCAAACTTACTTCTCCATAAACTTCTTCAAAACTTACTTACCAGCAAAGCTGCTTTTTATAACTAATGCAGTGGTTCTCAACCTTCTGGCCCTTTAAATACAATTCCTTATGTTGTGACCCAACCATAAAATTATTTTCATTTCTACTTTATAACTGTAATGTTGCTACTGTTATGAATCATAATGTAAATATCTGACATGCAGGATGGTCTTAGGAGACCCCTGTGAAAGGGTCATTTGACCACCAAAGGGGTCACGACCCACAGGTTGAAAACCGCTGAACTAATGAAACCCCTTCCCATTCCCAACTTTGGGCCTTAATTTTTTTTAAATAAACCTTATTTAAAATTATAATCGCTTTGTCCAGCAGTGCCCTTCTCCAAAGTTGGGCTTTACTTTCCCTCAGGGTACTAATCACTCTCTGACATGCCACTTATTTAATTTATTATGTTCATTGTCTCTCTCTCCTTCCCCTGGAATCTAAATTCCATATCACTCTTGCCTATTTTGTTCACTGCAGCATCCCTAGAATATTGCTGGCACATAGTAAATACTTGATTAAAACTTGCTAAGGACATGACTTTATCTCTACCCTGTCTCTCTAAGTGGAAATATTTGCAAGAATGGAATGGCAAATACCAAAGGCTGTAAAAGTCCAGACAAAGTTGGGAAATAAAAAGCAAAAACGGCCCTAGCCGGTTTGGCTCAGTGGATAGAGCGTCGGCCTGCGGACTGAAGGGTCCTGGGTTCGATTCCGGCCAAGGGCACATGCCTGGGTTGCGGGCTCAATCCCCAGAGGGGGTGTGCTGGAGGCAGCCAATCAATGATTCTCTCTCATCATTGATGTTTCTATCTCTCTCTCCTTCTCCCTTCTTCTCTGAAATCAATAAAAAATATATTTAAAAAATAGTGGTACCTCTTCCCTAAGAATATCATTTCTTAAGTTTCTCATTTCTAAGAGAAGAGGGTGTATGCATACCAAGTAATTATGTTCAATTTGTAACAATGAAAATACATCCTGCATATCAGATATTTACATTACGATTCATAACAGTAGCTAAATTACAGTTATGAAGTAGCAACAAAAACAATTGTATGGTTGGGGGTCACCACAACATGAGGAACTGTATTAAAGGGTCGCGGCATTAGGAAGGTTGAGAACCACTGTTCTAGAGTATAAAGAGGATCAAAGAGGGTGGTTAGTGACACTATTAAGCACCAAAGAGCAGACAAATGATATCAGGAAATTTAAGAGATATGTTATCAATAAAGGACCCTATAAGTAGATTAAGCAGAGGGCATACAGTAGGAAAGATGAACAGTAGAGCATGTAAACTCAGTGCACAGATATGGCAAAGGAAGATTCAAAACCGAACTTGGGCTTCCCAAGGTTTCCTCCCCACCCCCCACCCCTGACCCCCCACCTCCGCTTTGAGATATAATTAACATGTGACATTGTGTAAATTTAGGGTACAGGTGTCCAGGTTTTTTTTTACTTTAACTTGGGTATCATATTTAAGATGGCTAACAGTCTGGTTGAAACTGGAGGAAGAGCCTATTAGGAAAAGAGGGCTGGCAAAGACGTTTAGAACAGAAAGAGGAAGGGGAAGCAGTGAGGAAAGAGTAGGAATGGTTCAAACAGAAGAACAAACTCAGCATAATTCTAGGTGAGGGGCTTAAGAAAGAGCTTGAGATCTGAGAAAAGTCTGTTGGCTTCATAGTGTCTAACAGCATCCACATGCTACTCAGATTACAAGAGCTGTGGGTATATAATTAGTGCTGCAGAGTATACAGTGGGACATCAGCAGAGGCAGAGAAGAGAGTAAATCGGGGTATTCAGCATGGCTTAGAATACAGGATAAGCAATTCAAGGACCAACTATACCTGGGTCAGAAATCAGCTCCATCAATCACGAGCTGTGTAACCTCAGGCCACTTACTTCGCCTCTCTGAGCCCCAAAGCCTCATCAGAATGATCAGCCTCATTAAAATGAAGATGATCATAGGTATCTGGGAAGGGTGTGGTAAAATCAGATTGGAGAGGACATAAAAGACATCCAGCACATAGTAGGAACTCTGAAGATGTTAGTTCTATGTCCAGCTGACCCACACCCCAGTCCATGCCCATTTCTTTAGTAATCCAAAGGCCGATATTTGATCCCACTGCCTTCCCCACCTCCAGTGCTCTTTTTTCCCTGAAAAGATTGGGGAAATGGAAACAAATATTAAGTAGGCTGCAGTGCATGGGAAAAAACCCAGGCATGGGCTCTTAGATGTTGGGTATTGGCCAAGCAGACACTGTTCAATACGGACTAGTTGTTTAAGTGAAGGCCCTGTGTCCGCCCTTTGGTTTAAGCTGAGTTACCTCCATTTGCCTGGTAAAACCAGCAAAATCTTGAGCCAAATTGGGTTTTACAAATAGTCATCAAAGTGGTGGAAATGAAGTCTCTCAGGGAGTTACCTGATTTTACTGAAGAAAGGATGAAATGTAACATTCCAAAGTGAGAAGAAGGTAATTTACTCTTCCTGAAGAGCCAAGCGGTTTCTACTGCCCACTTAACTTTATAAGGTTCTACCCTTTATTGTCATAGAAGCTTTCATTTAGAAATTTTTTTCCGCTAATGTGATAAGGTTAGAATTGCCTTCTTCTGAAAGAAGCTAAGTCAAGAATGCCAAATTCTTTATATAAAACTAGAGGCCCAGTGCATGAATTCATGCACCAGTGGGGCCCCTCAGCCTGGCCTGTGGGATCAGGCTGAAACCAGCTCTCTGATATCTCACGCCGGTGCATGATTGGGGTTGGGGAGGTATGCAGAAGGTTGGCCAGCTGGAGAGGGACTGCAAGAAAGTTCCAGAGCATGTCCAACTCATCTCGCTCAGTCCCGATGGGCCAGACCCCAGCAGCAAGCTAACCTACTGGTCAGAGCCTCTGCCCCCTGGTGGTTAGTGCATGGTTGAGCGGCCTTAGCATATCATTAGCATATTATGCTTTGATTGGTTGAACGGCCAACCGGACGACTGGACACTTAGCGTATTAGGCTTTTATTATGTAGGATTTATCTCTTGCATTCACAAATAGGGATGTGGCAAACAAGTAGATGACTTTACCCTCTAAATCATACCTTCCTCATTGTGTAATGTATTTCACGTTCTTGGGTTTATTTTCTTTAATCAAAGCATATGAATTTTATGTTTTCAAAAATGCGTAGCATTTTGTTTTTCTTTTAGTTAATTGATTTGTTTCTCAAATGTCAGCTGAGAAATCAAGTGTGTCGTCTCTCAGAGAGATAAATAAAGGGCAAAAGCTCTAAAAGGAAACAGACAAGCAGAGTTTCCCTTATAGAAAAGCCACATGGCCCTGCACCGAGGGCCTCCGCACTCACCCTGCCCTTGTGCCAGATGCTTTCATTTCCCTCTGGATCCACATCGTCCGTGGCCAAGGTGAGGCAGACCAGTCTCCGTTTCAGCCCCGCGGCTTTAATCTGTTTCAGTGCTTGCTTTCCTATGAAGTCTGCTGGCTGCAGAAACCCAAGATAATGATGATGAATGAATGCTCAGACGCTGTGACAAGGTTAGAGATGCAAGCATTTAAATTTGTCTTTGCTATTTTCTCACCAATTACACATTCAATAAAAATACAGATTGGATCAGATGTCTAGACAAATATTTCTTAGTCCTCAAATGACAATATCAGCCACCTATTCCTTCGGAATAAGTTAGACTTAAGGGTACTAACTTGTGATAACCAGAACCACTAGGCAGAAAAACATAAGGTGTGATATTGCGATGGTGGGTTATGAAAGTGACCCTTGTACCTAATGGCTTTGGATGGTGGTCCTGGCCGGCAGAGAGCAAAGCCCTCCTCAGTTTCTACGTGCAGTAAGCCTTTTACAAGAAGGAAATTCACTTTTTGAAATGTGATGCCAAAAACAACCGCAAAATGTCTCACGTCTTCTCCTTCTTTGGAATGATGGTCTGGGGAACGTATTAACCTTTTGGGTTGTACTCATTAACTCATCTTGGAAATTTGTCAGACACAAAGTTAGACACAGACATTTTGATCAAAGAGCTTATTTTCTAACATTGAGCTTTTCCACCTTTTGTTTCTCCTTCCATGCAACACATGACAGATGACATTCCTATTCCTGACACATCCCCCTGGGCACACTCAGGGTTAGTCCCAATGCAAGGCGAGTGAGTGAGAGTGACATTGTTCCAGGGATAACCTTGAATCCAATCTTATATGTGAAAAAAAAAAGAGAGTAGGAATCATGAAAACTTCAGGACTTTTACATCTATTAATAACACCTTACAACAAACAGGTGAGCAATGACTCCTCAGTGGAGACACTTAGCAAATAGAGGAGATACAATTCTATCCAACCAGAATGCCAGGTAAGTGTGAGACACCAGTCAGGGGCTAAGAGCAGGAAGAGTGCAAAGGATGGAACGCTGGGGTGAAGAGTCCACATTAAATGTGCTCAAACAAGCATCTCCTATCTTATGGGGAAAAGAGGAATTTGTGACATACAAATCACATCTCTATGGATGAGATTTAATTAGAGTTACAATGTGGAAAATGAAATTCTCAAAAACAATTCTCATATACAGACTAACTACTCTCGAAAGAAAAGACAGGGAACAACAACTTAAATTTTTTCATTGGCCAAAGAAGAGAGGAAACAACATTTCATGCTAAAAATGTCCTCTGCACTCTTAAATTTAAGATTTTAAGAGAGCTGTACAAATCCTAAATCCAATATTTAGGATTTATGCAGCTCTTTCTGCACACCAACCATTTTGGGTTGGGTGCAATAAGTCCCCTTAACCTCTTGGTTAAGCAGCGGCAGGGGTCCGCACACACTCTGCCGGATACTCCAGTTCCGCTCTGTACTGACTCAGAACTTCTAGGACAGGATAACAAGATATGATTTCTATGGATATTGCAACTTTAAATTGCTGACCTGCACTGGAAGCTGGAGAAAGTTTACATTGGCTAAGGTTAAAATAATTGCAAAATGAAAGCCCAGTTCTTTCCCCTTTCCCAGTGTGATCCAGATGTTGAGAACCAATCTTAAAGCTGCATTATGAAACCAGAGAAAATTTCAAAGAAGACTAGAGCCCATGTTATTTAAGACAGGACTGCTAGGGGAAAACAAAACAAACCCATAGGAAGAGCTTGATTCGTTTGAATTCATGTGTAGGAAAAATTTATGATTAAAGTCATAACAGACCAATGTTCATTATAGTTCAAACTTGGATATCTAAACACAGAAAGAACTCAATAACAACAGCAACACGTTTTTTCTATCTTTTTAAAAGAAGACTTACATGACAAGGTGTGCTTTTTAGAGTTCCTGTATGGCCTCACACTTTGTGTGGAAAAGCTCTTACAATAATAAAAGAGGCTAATGCACAACATAATATGATTTATGGAGTGCCAGGAGATGGAGGAGGAGGAGGAAAAGGAGGAGGAAGGGAAGGGGGAGGAGGAGGGGGAGGAGGAGGGGCGGGGGGGGATTGTTGTTGTTTCTTTGTCTCCTGTTGCTGGGAGCCGGTCCATCCTTGCTGTTTCAAGGGACCTGGCACTTGAAACAGCAAGGATGTACCGGCTCCCGGCATCCTGTTATGAAATCTGAATCTTTACTGTTAGAGATTCACTTAGATCTTAAAAGTTTGGGGTTTTCCTGAGTCCCTAGTAAATAATTTTCTTTTAATTATTTATTCAACTGTTATTATTGCCCTGCTATGTTTCATACACTGTTTCAGGCACGGGGTATTTGGAGCTAAGTAGAACATGGTCTCATAGTTTCTGGGAGGCTCTGCTAAGATGTGACCTCTTCCCTCCACATCATAACAGGCCAGGTCTTGAAATGATCTGTGTCTCCTCAGTTTTTGAAAAATTTATCTTTACTGTTGACAGTTACTGATGCCCCCCCCCCCTTTTTGTTTCAATACATCAGAGGAAAGGAGAACAGTTTGAGATTACGGAAACATGGTAGAACAGGATACATTATAGCATACAAATCAGCTACACCAGTTTGAAACAAGACTCAATGCTGGTTCTGTTTGTTCAGTGGGAGTGTAAAAATCACAGCATTTTATAAGTTTAAGACAAGAATGTCTAATGTGTGAAGGCAGAAATGCAAACAAGCAGATGCTATGATAGGGGTTTGTACAATGGGGGCTCGGGAAAGTGTGATGGCCCGGCCGGCGTGGCTCAGTGGTTGAGCATTGACCTGTGAACCAGGAGGTCACCGTTAGATTCCCAGTCGGGGCACATGCTCAGGTTGTGACTTACTCCCCACTGTGGGGTATGCAGGAGGCAGCCAATCAGTGATTCTCTCTCATCATTGATGTTTCTATCTCTCTCACCCTTCTTCTCTGAAATAAATTAAAATTATATATATATAATTTTTTTAAATTTTTTTAAAGAGTATGATCAGTTCTGGGGTGGGAGAGTGGGTCTGGGGTAGCATTCTATCAGTAGCAATTTTGTAGAAGTAGTTTGAACTGAATTGTTAAAAATGAGATTTCATAATGGCTATTATCTGCATAGCCTTTCCTAAAAGTCCTTGCACTTACATTATAATTTGATCTTCACAAGAACCCATAGATGGTGGATTTGGGGTCTAAGTAAATGAACTTGGCCAAAGAAATCAACAAACTGGTTAAGAATGAAGCTGTCAAAAGTCCCAGCTCTATTATTTTCATCTACTATGAGGGCCTCCACGCTGCCACTTAAGCCAATATCTGCTACATCTTTGTGGGGGCTGTGAGAAAGTTGGCCACAAGCAGAGCTTTCAGAAATGGGTCCTTTTGGGGGTGCTGGGTGAGAGCTGTTGGGGCAGGTGCTAAGGGGTTGAAGGGAATGAGATGCACTGGAAGGGGAGTGTAACTCAATTTTTGCCAAATTCATAATTTTACCCAAGTCTAAGTAGGGACATACGGTATCACAAAAAATAGGAAAAGGGGAGACAATCCCAGAACACTCATTTTAGAAGAGAAAAATTGAATAAGCAGTAAAAAAGAAATAATAATAGTTACAATTTATTAGGCACTTGCTATGTGCTAGACATTGTGCTAGTTGTACATTCTGAAGGTTGTACATTTACGAGCTCATTTAATCCTCATGATGTTCCTATGAGAGAGACAGTTTTACCCCAGTTTATGGAAGAGAAAGGCCCAGCAAAGTTAACGCTCAGTTACATGGCAACATAACTCACACCTTTATTCATCCATACACTAGAGGCCTGATGCATGAAATTCGTGCACAGGGGGAGGAGGGGAAGGGGTCCCCTCAGCCCAGCCTGCACCCTCTCCAATCTGGGACCTCTCAGGGGAGTTCCGACTGCTGGTTTAGGCCCAATCCCTCTGGAATATCCCTCTTACAATCTGGGACCACTGGCTCCTAACTGCTCACCTGCCTGCCTGATCACCCCTCACTGCACGCCCCCTCCACCAACCTGGTCACCCCTTACTGGCCCCCCCACCCCCTCCCCACCAGCCTGCTTGCCCCACATAGCCTGCTGTTCAGTCGTTTGGGCACCCCTCACTAACCCCCCTGCTGGCCTGGTCGCCCCACGCAGCCTGTTCAGTTGTCCATTCGGTTGCGACGGTTACTTAGATAGATATTATATAGATATTTTATTAATGACCGTACCTGGAGACTCTCATAGGCAGACACAGCTGATATAAATACTCAAAAGAATATTTCTGTTAAATTATTCCTAGGTAGCCCAAACCTATTTTGAAATATATTCACTTCACAATAATATTTTTGTACTACATAAAAGGATTTGAAAATACCCTGAAGGCTAATACTAATGAAATTTGACATCTACATCTACATATCCCTGAATTAGGAAGTGATCTTGTCAGCAATATTATTCTCAGACATGGATGAAAACAATACTGTAATAAACAAGAGAAATCTAATTAAATACAAGGAACACACACTTATAACACAGAGAAGAGGGGACACCTGCCTCTTGAGACAAGTCTCCCTCCCAAGCTAACCTGGTGCCCGACGGGAAGATTTAAAGTAGGGCAATGGCATTTCATTCTCATTTTACAGGGCTTTCCTCCCAAGGAAATTATTAATTATGAGTGAGAGAGGAAAATATGTCTGAAAGTAAGTGCTGTGATTGAAACTGGTGCTTTCAAGATGACCTGAGAACAGAGATACATTTCTTTAATGAGTCACTGCCAAATTAATTATATAAATAGATATTCAAGTCTTTGCAAAACATAAATTTCTAGGGCACTGAGACTATGGCTTAAAAATAGCTTTGGCTTATCTTTTTAATTTATTAATTTTTAAAAAATATGTATTTTATTGATTCCAGAGAAGAAGGGAAAGGGAGAGAGAGCTAGAAACATCAATGATGAGAGAGAATCAGTGATCAGGTGCCTCCTGCACGTCCCCTATTGGGGATGGAGCCCAAAATCAGGGCATGTGCCCTCACCAGGAATTGAACCATGATCTTCTGGTAGATAAGTTGAGGCTCAACCACTGA